GAACAATTAGCTACTATAGATAAATCAGAAATCAAAACTTTTCTTTGTAATTTCATCTTATCTGATGCCCAAACTCAAAAATATAATGAAAAAAAGGATTTTTAAAATGAACTGTCATGTTTTTTTTTTTCAGTTAATATGCAGGTGAAAGCAGGGTTTGTATGGAACATGAAATAATAAACTTGTGCTCTCTATATTGAGCTTTATTTTTCTGCTTTGGTAAAAATAAATAGTCTAAAAAAAAAAAAAAAAAATCTCATGTGATTTTTGAATAGTTGCCACAAATAACCACTGATATTTCATCAACTTCTATCCAGGATGTTGTAGTGATCATTATTCATATCTCACGTTCATATGTGAAAATCAGAGCCTAGATGAGTCTGTAAATGAAGAACGTTGGTTTTTTGGTTTTCTCAACGTTTAACACAACATATCGAATCAGTGCCCACATTACTGCAGGCAAGACCTGATCAGTCTATCCATCATAAACCAGATACTGATGGAACCTAACTTAGCAAACACATAAAAAATAAGAATAAGTACCAAACTACAATAATGTTGCTTTTGTCAGGGATTACAGAACGTCGGTTAAAATATTAATGAAACGATTACCATGACAATGTAATAAGAATTGCAAAAATATTTTTCTTGAAGTTAAAATACTGACCGTGAGGCAGAACAATCGAGTCAGTCAAGCTACTGGAAGAAAAAAAAGCTTAATGTTATCAGTAGAGGCCAGGCAGCCTTTCACGGCTCCAAGCTTCTGTGAAGCGAAAACACTGACAAGAAGAAATGTTCACCTGCCTGAAAAAAATTAAACATTCCTTTCTCCCTGTTTTGATCCAGTCAATCTGAAGGTGAATTTTTTTTTCTTCCTCAAGGACAAGCTTCTCATTGATCCAAATATTTGTTTAATGATATTCCTCCTCGAGCCTCCTGCCAGGACCTATTCCAGTTGCATTTTCATCTTTTGTTTTTCATTTGCGTTCAGGGATATTGCTGTTCGGAACGTGTTAGTTGCAAGCCCAGACTGTGTGAAGCTTGGAGACTTTGGTCTGTCGAGATACATTGAGCATGAAGAATACTATAAAGGTAACAGAGACGATGATACAAACATTTCTGTTAAAAGATCTGGGTGGTTAATCTAAAGTGTAACCTTTGACCTTTTGCACAATGTGGCTCAGCGTGATCTGATGGTGATTTCTCCACAGCTTCTGTTACTCGATTACCAATCAAGTGGATGGCCCCAGAATCCATAAACTTTAGACGTTTCACGTCAGCTAGCGATGTCTGGATGTTTGGTGAGCTCAGACGCGTTTTCAGATTTCCTTCATAATCCACTGATTTATATCTATAATGCTCAACGCTTCTCTTTATAGTCGTATCTCATGGATTGCAGAGTGAAAATGTCTGATGTCTCGGGTGCATTTCTCTGTAGCTGTGTGTATGTGGGAGATCATGAGCCAAGGGCAGCAGCCGTTTTTCTGGCTGGAGAACAGGGACGTCATCAACCAGCTGGAGCAGGGCATCAGATTGCCCAAACCAGAGAACTGCCCTCCAGCTCTTTACTCACTCATGACTCGCTGCTGGTCCTACGATCCCGGAGAGAGACCCAGCTTCACTGAGCTTGTAATCAAGATCAGGTATTTATTTATTTTTTTTAATTAACAAGACGCCCAAAGAGAAATCCTTTCATGATCTCCTTCTCTATGATTTGTGATTGTTTATAAAAATGAAGAGAATATTTTTTTTCTGTTAAGAAAAACAGAACAATTTTCTGTTCAATTAAAATATTTTTATTTGATAAACAATGATAAAAAAACAAAACAATAATTCATTGAAACATAAAATTCACATGTAAAGGAAATATAAAAACAAGTTATAAACTCTGACAAGAAATGACAGATATCAGATAAATGTATTGTACTGGCAATGTATATTTATTTTACTGCATAGTGTTGTAACATACGGTAGTAAAAACTAAAGCTAATTCTTGTGACTATTTAAGAGACCGACTACATGATACAAACATTTCCAATGCCCACGAGAGGTTACTTGGTGTCTGTTGTTTAAATTTTTCATCCTGTAAACCACTTCAAATTGCCACATTTCTCAAACATGCTGTACAAATAAACTTGAGGACCAAAAATACACACAAGGTCGTAATTCTGACGTGTCTTTCAGTGACGTCCAGAAGATGGAGAAGGAGCTGGACGTAGAGAGAGAAAGAGACAGAGCACGCGCCACCAAATTTCTGGAACCAAAGGTCAGCTTTGCAGATGCTCCCCCCAAGGTATAAACACTTGTTCATTTTATTTTGTTTTAACATATTATATATACATAAAAATAAGTGGTTTAATGCATTCACTTACTTTTTTCACCCTTTACTGAAGCCCTCAAGGACGAAGCCAAGCCGATTTGGGAACACACTCAGTATCGGTCTACATATTCAGGTGTGTAAGTTTATGCAAGTAACCAGAATATTTGCAGGATTTTTACAGTCTGACTGATTTGTTTGTGTGTCTGTGCAGCTGAATGAAGCTCTTTGTGCCAGCTCACCAGACCTGGCCAGCCCATGTGAATACCAGTCCCCGATTGACTCCAGAAACACGCTCGCTCTGCCGGTTAGGTCTCCCCGTCGCCGCAGTATGGGGGTAAGATCACAATATCAAAGCGTACTTCTAACATGCAATAAATGCCATCCATTTAGAGTTAAAATAAATGATCATCTCTGCATCAGGAGAGTGAGTTTATGCGAATGGAGCCGAACAGCAGGGAGGACGCCCAGCGGCTGTGGCAGAGAGAACGGCAACAGAGGCAGGAGACTCTGCGGCTCCAGAAAGAGCAGATGATGGAGGATAAGAAGTGGCTGGAGGAGGAGGAGAGACTCCTGGTGGGAAACAGAGCATCATTAACTTTAGTCAGCCCCCTCTCTGTGTCCCAGTGTCCCTCTTCTCACCAATACAATGTTACCCTGGAACCTGAGTGGAACAAAGCACCTCTAAATAGAATAAAAACTTTTGTTCAACCTCGACGCCCCACTAGTGTTAAACTGAATGTTCCCCTGATAACAGTGCAAAAGGAAGGCCCCATGTCTTTATTATGTGAAATGAACCTGCCTGTTCTTTTGCAGGACCCCATGGGACAAGATGACGTTTCCATTTCAGAGGTAAGTGTCCATGCGTACAAAATAAAATCCCAGTGAGATTAAATGAAGACAGCAGGTAGCAACTGTTTACCACACACTTTCTAAGTAAATATGCAGCTAAGTGAGAAAGCATATTAGCTTTGTTACGTACCAGAACACAAAGTGCATAATTGTGAAGATAAATCACTTTTTTCCAAAATTACAGCTGTAAGTCTCAGTTTGCAGTCGTGCCATGCTCTTTTTGTTTTGGATGAAAACCTTTACACTCATCCACTTTTTGTAGGTCACAAAATCCAAAGATGATTATAACTTAACAGGATCTGAAAAAAAAACTCTAGAGTAGTACAACAAAGATAATGTTACATTCTGACATCTTTTGTCAATATGATCCTGCCAGTAAAATTACAAAATTAACAACTCAATAAGATTTTTTTGTCCTCTTGTTGAAAGCACACATTAGGAACTGCTTAAGTTATTCACATATACTTTCTATACTTATCTGATTAACTCCATGTTTGTTTTTCTCTTTGTAGCCAACTGAAGATGAGAGTGAGCATGGTAAGGACTAAGACAAATTACTGTTTTACATTAAATTGTTTTCCTTTTGTTGTCTTGTGACAAATCTGTCTTCCCACACAGTACCACCTGAAAAACCCCCACGACTCAAAGCACAAGTAAGAAGACAGCTGTACCCTTGTTAAGCTTTTTATGGTCATTCAAACAGATTAATAAGCTTTTCTTGAATTAATATTTTAACAATTAATATTTCACGTTAGGCTGCTCCCACAGCAGAGATCGACCGTTCTGATGATAAAGTATACCAGTACGTTATGGACTTGGTCAAAGTTGTTGTCCAACTCAAGAATGACATCACTGAGCTGCAACCAGAACAATATATCTCCATTGTCAAGGTACACTGAGACAAATTACCTGCCCTCCACCTCCGCTTTGTAGGTCGTTGTTGTTTTATTGGCCAATTTAAAATGCAGAGGAAAACCTCCTGAGTCACAGAGCTGATTCATTTACTTTATTGATCTATCCTCACAGTCTGTTGGGATGGCCTTACGAGATCTGATCCGCAGTGTGGACGATGTGCTGCCGAGTTTACATGAGTCGATCAGGACTGAGGTATTGCTTTATTGTGCATGGGATTCAAACACACTACTAATATCCTTACCTTGAAAGCACAGAGGCAGGATTCGGTAAATAAACACCAAATTAAAATGAGGCCAGCTTTTATTTGATCAGATCCATTCCTTCTTTTTCAGATTGAAGGTACCCAGAAGTTGCTCAACAACGACATGGCCGAGCTGATCAGCAAAATGCGCCTGGCCCAGCAGAACTCCATCACATCTTTAAAGGAGGAGTGCAAAAAACAGCTGCTGGCTGCTGCACACACTCTGGCCATGGACAGCAAGAACATGTTAGATGCTGTGGACCAAGCTAGAGTCAGAGCTAATATAGCCAAACCAGCTGCACCAGAGTGAACTGATTTGTTTTTTGCTTTATTTTTTTTAAACTGACTTTTTTCTTGTCTTCTTAAAATAACACTTGGGCCTCTGCTGAGGTCCAAATGTTTTGATATCTATGAGCCAAAAGCAGCCTCTGGTTCTTTGGGGAACCATCAGTGTGTAAATGAGTGATGTGTTAAGTAACTCTGTCAAGAAAAATCAAAATCCACACTATTTGATATAATATTTTAAAAAATTGCATAAAATAGACTTAAGTGTAATGATCTGATTTATCAGTGGCTGCTGTCACATTGAGCTGGGTCATTCTGATGAGTCCATCATGAAATCGAAGTCTATGATGAGACATTTATGTTAAGTTGGAAATTAAAAATCTTTGTAAATACAGAATGTGTCCTTTCTTTAACCCTTGATAGCCACAAAGTAAAGGTTTGTGGCTATCACAAGTGTTTTATTTTTTTTTTTTATGAGGACACAGAACAAAAGAGTAAAATTAAAAAAGCAAGTATATAGATCAGCTGTGGGGGGAAAAAACAAGCTCCTCCTACTTCTCCTGCTGCTGAAAAAAAAACACACACTTCAGAAACAACTGGTCAGGTCAAGGAATAATCTCTTATCAATGTCAGTCATGCTCGTGTACACGTTGCTCACAGAGGAGCTGAAGGAAATGATGGCTACAAACAAAACAAACAAACAAACAAGTAAACAGAGAGGAAGGATGTCGCCAATACTAAAATTAGAGAAATAACAACATGACAGGAACTAAATGATTAAAAAGAAAACATGACAACAGGGTCCAATACCTTATAAGTACAATGCTGACAACATTGATCATTTGAATGACTGAGGTTCCAATAGAAATTTAGTCATAGATTTTGGTCCGTCACAGAAATTTGTGTTTCTGTGATGGACACAGAAACACAAATTTGTTTCTGTGTCTGGGGTGTCATTGTATGTAAGTCAATGACACACTATTGGCTGTGTAAGGCTGAACACAAAAGTGTTCAGCCTTACATCTGTTGCATAATTTCACATCAATATCAAGTTAATAAATCTCACCACTAATTTAATGTAAGCATTCGTGTTTATTTCTGAACACACTTCTTAGCATTCTGCTGTCGATCCCGATGGAGTTTTATTGAAGTCCTTTAAAATAAATATGAAGTCAATGTCATTGTTTTTTTAATAGGTGACTTCTGAGCCCACAGAAGTTGTGCCATTAAAACAAAAAACATTAACAATAAATCAGAGTCCAGCTACAGATTTTATTTTTTTTACCTTTCCTCACGAAACCTAAATCATGCCAGCCAACCATGGTGGTAGGAAGAGTCCTATTGTGCCAAGCAGACACACAATAATGAACATCCACAGGAAGATCCGATCAATGACCATGGCAACATACTTCCAATCCTCCTTCACCTGTGGAAAAAACAATAAAGGAGAGAAAATTTAATCAAATAAAAAAGACGCCTCACCTAAGAGAGCAATCTTATGAGAAACATCTACTTTGTTTATGAACTAGATTTTTAATTTGCTGCTTTAGGACACTAGCACTGCAATATATTCTGGAGGACAACACTGTCAGTTTAGAGACTGTTCCTCACTATTCCCATCCAGCAAAGTGATTTACTGAAAATTGTCAGTATCAATCATCTCATAGAACCTTTTCTCCTGATATTGACTCTCCTCTGGAGTTTTTAAACAACTTAAGGTTCATTAAAAGCAGACTATTAGCCCAAGAACCCAAGAATAAATGTCTCTGAAGTGACTTTTTGCCAAAAAAATAAATAAATATCAATTTACCTTAGCAAATCTAAAACAAGAAGTTACTTCTGTTCTTCAATTCACAATTTTTCTAGCTGTATTATGGATCTGACTTCCATCCATTTGTTGATACTCGTTGATATTTTTTTGTGAATCCTCAGCGTAATCTTTGAGATGATTTAATCCCCCCAAACTAATCCCAGTTCCCTGAATTGTAGAGCAAAGAACGCATCAAATCTGCCCTTCCACAAACATTTAACTCTGTAAATTCTCATTGACAGCCCCCATGTCTAGTCATAGTTTACTTTTAACTTTCTCACTGGCTGGTTAATCATATCAGATTTTCATGTTTTTTGCTTGTTTTCGTTAGCAGGAAAATAGTAGCATTACGGTTGTTACGATAAGTAATACTCACACTGAAATCTGCATCTTCAGCTCTCAGATGGTCTGCAATGTAGTGAACCCCTTGTAATGCCCGTATTACACTTGGTGAAAGTATGCAAGGTGACTCTAATGCTGAACTGTCCTCTTTAGGTGCCTGCTGTGGGGAATTAAACCTTGCTCCAGAGAGCTGCCTGTTCAATCCTGCAGCACCATCTTGCAAGTTTTGGCTGCTCTGGGGTTTTTTCTGTTGCAGTGGAGGAGTCAACCCTGGAGGTCTCGGAGAGGGGGGCCGAAAGGAGAAATATGACGTCAGCGTTCCCAGCTCCAAGTCCTCATAGCAGCTTCTCTCTGGGTTTTCCAGAGTGCTCCCATCTCTCATCCAGGTATAAGAGGTGCTGATGCAATGGCTTGAGTCATACCCTATTTGCATTTGCCGCCTCTCTGCTGCTATTTGCTGCTGGAGTAGCAGCAGCCTGCGGCGCCGGCCGTCAGGCGCCGGCCTGCGCATGAACAGCCAACGTGGGATCAGGTCCAGGAACACGGAGTGGACCCAGCGGGGCATCTTGTGAGTGCTGGGTGAGCGATGGTGCACGTTTAGCACAAATACTGTGATGACGATGGACAGGGTGACGAAGATCATAGTGAAGAGGAGATACTCGCCGATGAGAGGAATGACAAGAGACGTGGAGGGTATGATCTCCGTTATGAGCAGGAGGAACACAGTGAGGGACAAAAGGACTGAGATACAAAGAGTGATCTTCTCACCGCAATCTGAGGGCAGGTAGAAAACTAAGACGGTCAGGCATGAGATCAACAAGCAGGGAATGATGAGGTTGATTGTGTAAAATAAAGGAAGCCTTCGGATGATGAAAAAGTAGGTGATGTCTGGGTAGATCTCATGGCAACAGTCATATTTCTTGGTGTTGTATGTTCCCACAGCGTTGATGATGGCCCATTCCCCGCTCTCCCAGTAGTTGTTGAGATCCACAGTGTTTTCTATTCGCTCCAGGTCGATCTTGGCTTTGTCATAGGTCCAGGAGCCAAATTTCATTTTACAGTTCTGCTGATCGAAGGGGAAGAAGGTGACGTCGATGCTGCAGGAGCTTTTGTAGATGGCAGGCGGGACCCAGCGCACTTTACCATTGTGGAACAGGTGAGCTTTGGTCATGTGGGTCACAGCAAACTCGCCATCAGCACTGGAATAGAAAAGAAATTGCAAAGCAAACTCAGCATTGTTGTGGCTTAGAGGGAAAGCAAAGTTTAGGCAAAAGGGCTGCAGCACATACAAAAATCACATGGGGAAAAATTGTAACTCATCTTAAACCCTATTCATTACGTTAATCATTAAAATAGCTTCTGCTGAAGAGCCGCTATCATTTCATCAGTTTAATTTCACTGACAGACTGTGATTAAACAGACTCAGCGGAGCAGAACTCCATCATCAACCTGCTTGATTTTAATCTGAGAGAGGTGACTTTAGGTGCTGGGACTTGAGTCTGAAAGCTGGATTTTACATCTGATTTCACATGGAGATTGTGCATTCATAAAGGCCACTTTCCTTTTAAAAAGAATAAGCTTCACCAACATGCTAGAAAAGAAGTTCATCAAATACAGGTAAACATGTAAACAGTAATCCATTTAGTATACCACTAGATGGCACTATACACATATCAGAAACCTATAAATTTGTCATTGAGTCATTCAAAATGCAATAAAATATTATTTACATTTTTAAAGCAAGCAGTTTGTATAGCCACTTGAATGATCTCCACACTCTTTACTTTTTGACAATATACATTATTAACATAGATGTTATTTGTAAACAACAATATTTGATCAAAGCTATCACAGAAATAAAAAAATATTAACAATAAATAAAAAAAACTATTAACTCACTTGTTATAGAGAACTATATCTGGGACCCATATAAGCTCCGATGGGACTCTGATGGACGTTACGTTGTCATAGTCAGACGGTCTCCAGCGAAGTTTGTAGTCATTCCACTCCTGGGATCAATTAGATCCTTGAGTTTTTATCCCTCATTTAAGGTAGAAACAATTCTTTGAAAAATGTGACTATAGAAACAAGTTTTCTAACCTGCTTTAACCACACATTAGTTGTCATCATTTGGTTTTTCTCATCCTAAATGGGAGAAACAGGAAGGAACAAAGAACAAACACACTGAAAGCATTAAAAGATGTACAGTATGTGTAAAGTCACATTTTTCAAATCTAATTGTTCAAATCTAATTATGACTATAAGTGATGGAACAAATTGTCAGGGCCAGAAGAAAGAACATCCTCTTTTTGGTACACATGCAGCATTTTTGGCATGGATTTCTTTCACATTCATTCTTCCATTTGGTGTTTATGTTAGATTTGTTCATGTTAAACTGTTCTAAACAGTTTTACAACCAGTTTTCTGATACCAGTTTCGCCTTTAGACCAGTTTTTTATCATCAAATGACCAAGTAGCACAGTCATTACTGAAAACACACAGAGGATACGTCACCACATCCTATAATCACGGATGAAAATGACACCAAGATTCTTCAACTCCTTTGCTAGATTCAGAAATATTGACTATTGATCCAGCATTTCCAGACAAAAATATTTTGCATTAAATCAACAATTTTGCTTGAATCCTTTTACAATCAAGATAACTCACCACATCAATGAGCTGGGCTATGGACAGTCCAAACTTGACTATAACCACATCAGAGATGTTTGGGACAGGTCTTGACCACTTGTTGTAACCAGAGAAGAGCGTCTTGAAGAGTTCATCTTCGGCATGTGAATGGGTCTTGACATGACCAAGAACTGTGGAAAGTAAGATGTTTATTTGTCCAGATTACTCATTATTAGAATTTTACAAACACATAGATTTCATTTAGATGATTATGTTTGATCTCTGATTTCATGCTATCAAGTGTTTATAAGTAAATATGATCGCTTAAACTCTTTATTTAATGATTTGAAACTAATACGAACATATTAAATGCTTTTGTCATTGTTGCCTTCAGTTATCTATCTGGCTGGCATCGTATTGTGACTGGTGATAGAAAGAGCGGCAGCTGGAAACATGGAGGTGTTTCATCACAAAAGTCTACCTGTGTGAGATTTAACCTCAGTTTAAACTCAGATGTCTTGGGAAGCCGTTAAGACATTGCTAGAGAACATTACAGACTATCAGCATCAAGAGAGCCAAGGAAAACAGCTGTAACCCATTTTCTCATCAACACGGGTCTTTTGTTCCAACATTCACCCTCACAGCACTGAAGCCCTTCTTCTGCTCACACTCCTAGCTGGTTCCTCCTGTTTAATCCTCTTCATTCTTGGTTACATTCTATTATGTGTACTTTTTGTGTTCGCCTGGCTGTTTGTAAGGTTTGGTTTCCTTCCCTGTTTTCATCAAACATCCACTCCATGCCTCTGCCTATGGCTCTCTGACACATTTGGTTAAACATTTGAATAATTGTGACTCTGATCAATGGACATTAATTGTGTACATGCTTGTGCGTAATTAAATGTTTGAGAGTTCTGATACTGACCTGAAAGCTGAATCCACACTGTGCAAAAGTGGAAACTTTGTGACTGCAGAAACTTTGGCCACTTTTAACCTTTGTGAAAGAAAGGCTTTTGTGTTTATTTTTAAGGCTATTATTTTAATGTTAGACCTTAACCTTTGTGTTAATAGTTCATTTTATGACCTTTTCCAGCTTCATCTGTGTACACTCTGGGTTTATTAGTCCCTCTGTCTTGATTTCCCTGGTCTGCTTTTTCTCCAACTGCACCACATTCCCCCGATTAGTCACTCCTGATTCTCGCGCCACTCATTAACTCTCCCAATAGTCAAGTCTGTCATCATCACCTTCCTGCCAGACGCTCTGTTCATCCATGTCCATTCATCACTGCCTGCTTTTCATCACCCTTTTTGTCCTCACAGTAACAGTGACCATGTATTCTAGTTCTTGTTGTTCCCTGTTAGTTCTTCTACTTTTCTGGATGTCCTGTAAACAAATAACGAGTATGAGTCCACCCCTGTCTTGTCTTGAGGTATGGATGCTGTGCAGTGCACTGGACCTGGATCTCTTCCTTTTAATCACTGTTGGATAATAAATAATTTCTTTTTAACTGTGTGTTTTTCGTGTCACAACTTGTGCATAAGAAAAGCAGATTTCAGAAAAGGGCTTTGATGTATCTCATGTGCACTATAATGAAAGGGATTAAAATATGAAATTCTGGGACTATTGCAATGACTATTAGTGTGGCTAAGACCTGGTACTATACTTTTAGTTTTGTTCTAGTTGATTACTTTAGATGGACTAACAGCAGCCCTTAATTTGCAAAAAATGTCAAAAGCTACCAACTGAAGACTGTTAAATTGCTCATTTATTTTTATTAGCTCTAAAACAAAAGCCTTAAACTGACAGTGTGACATTTTGCAATGGGTCATGCACCATAACTCATTATATTTCACTTCCCAAAATGGTGGTGTGTGTTTTATGTGCCTTTCTTTCTTTGTGTGTTTGATTCAGTTAAGATTTGGCATAAAGAAAAATGTTGGATAGTATTTTGTTACGTTAGATATTTGAATTTTCAAGATAGAAAGAAGTGCTTTTCTTTCTTATCTTTCTTTCAAAATCTTTTTTTAGAATCTTACTAAAATCAGGCACATCCACATATGATCTGTTATGGTGACATTGACAAGGTCCTGCTATGTTTGTGCTATCATAGTGCAGAGGACTTTCCAACTCAGTGGAATGTGTCACCATTATGGATCAACAAGTAGCACACGCTGCAGCTACTTGGCTGAGTTTTTGGTTCCATTAAGGACATTTTTGCAAACAGTTATTGTAGGTCTACCCTCTGCAGGGTCAATGATGTAAAGTCCTGTGGCTACGTGTAAATCTGATGCAGAGATTTACTGCTAAAGCTGATACCTTGGATGGGCTTTAAACATCACAATGCTGTTTCGCAGTAAGTGTTTCACATTGTAAAATGTTATTTTCAGCATTATTTTTTCAGACATTATCTTTGCCATATGATGGGTTTTAAAGTGAATACCTGGGGTCATTTCCCGCCATCATTTGTTTGCTCTGACCTGACCAACAAGGTTGCAGCTGAGATCTTTTGACGGCCCTGGTGAGATGCTAAACAAAACGGCTCCTGGGTACCATACATCAAAGAACCTCCTGGCAGTGGAGTCTTGAAATGAGATGACACCTTCAAAATCCAGCAAACTGGGCTTAGAAGACTGGAGGCCAGCCAGGCCCCTTGGCCAGGTCTATAAAACACTGACCCGTTTGGAGGATCGAGTCAGCAGCTTCCTTGGCCAGAGGCACTCTTGGTGAAATTGGGCTGTCAAGTGCTTTTAGTGAAGAGTTTGTAGGGGAACAACGTGGAACATTTTCTGGACAAGAAAACTGCAAGGCGTCAAGTCAAAGAGCTGATCTTTGGCTTGGTGGCAAATGAACCATCGCTAGATTGTGTATCTACTTTTTTTTTTTTTACTGCAGAAGTAAAAAAGAAAATATGGGGCAGAAAGGTGCAGACTTTACATGTTTTTTTCAGGTATCTGTTAAGCAAGTCTGCAAATGACTTGTTTGTGCATTTGAGTGAACGACTGATTCAAGGTTTAAATTGGTGCAAAACAGAGCACTCTTTTTTTCTTTTCTGTCAATCTCTTTTTGTAGAGAAAGTTTCTATAAATATCTGAAAAAAGCATAATGTTTTCATGTAATATATTTCTCTCAATGGTTATGTATATCCAATCCACCTCTTATAAAAAATATTTTGATCTAATTATGGCAGGGAGAAAAGAGCTTGTTTAAATTCAGCTCCATATCTTACCTATCATTTGATCCTTTTGTAAATATCTGAAAGTGATCAGTTGTAGATTAGCATTGTTTGCATATAAAACGTGTGTTTTTAATTTGCAAACATTGCAAGATGTATGCATGTTAAATGACTTTAGAAAGGCCACAACACAAGTAATTCTATGGTAGAAAAATGCCAGTTTGTATCCGGTGGATGGTATAAAACAGGATTAAGAGAATAAATTGGGTGCTTGGTAAATTAAAAAATACAGAAGAATTAATCAAGTAAAACATAAGGAACAAATAAAAGATACCAGCAATTGTTTTAATTAACTAAAAATCTGCACTAAGGACTTTATGGCTTCTGGAGATGTTAACAAACAGTTGCAATTTTAAAAATGTATGTGAGGCAGCTAGGTCAGAAACAATTATGATAAACTTCTAAAATCATGAAACTTAGTACAACCTTTTCAGGGGAGGGAAGTGTTACCAGGATATGCCTGGTTTGTAGCAACTACTCTTTATCCTTACAAGAAAATAATTCCATGCTGGCTAATTCAATTTGGATTCAGAAACAATTGGGATAATTAAGGAAAACGATTTTAAAAAAAAACGTAGTTATTAATTTTTTTTTTTTCACAGAGTCTAGAGATGGACGTCAGAACAATTGAAGGGCTTTTATTGGGAAAAAAAAATATAGGTGGTTATTATTGCAATTCACAGGTTTTGATTCCTAAATATGTTTTTCAGCTGGACTGTGTATTAAATTCCTGCTCAGTCGTTACAGTACAGGAAACAAAACAAAACAAAACAAACAAACAAAAAAAAAACCGCTTACCTGTCTGACCCAGAAGTAGCGTCCAGATGACGATCGTCCCTTTCAGGAACAGGTGGTTGTGAATCATTTTGCGCTCCGTGAGAAAAAAATAAGTCCAACTTGATCAGAGAGGAAAGCGCAGCAGGGACGAGCCGTCAGAGTCTCCTCCGTGAGAGGAGCATGTGTCATCTTCGCAGCTGGGAGGCGTATCAGAAAAACTGCACAACTGCCACTACATCAGAGGGAGAGGAGAGAGTGGAAAAGTGCTCCGACCAACTACGGTACCGCCGTTCAGCATTGGTAAATGTCTCTTCGATCACCACTGAAACGTGCTTCTGTTGTGGTTTAAATCTGCTATTTTAATAACTTAAGTATAGAAAAATGTTGTCCAGGCTTGCGCAGGTACCAAATCCAAACCGCTGCGCCTTTTTACGCACGTTGCCACGCTGTTATTCTTTTGCAATTTCGAATGATTTTAATCTGGAGAGTGGATCCAACTAGGGAACATGCGTCCCTTTATCTGGTAGGACACCTCCAGCAGTCCCTCCTCCTATTTCTCTTCCTTCTCATCTCTCTCTCTCTTTCCTCTCTCCCTCTTTCTCTTTCTCACTATGATTGCCATAAACCTTAGATGCAAAGGCAACTGAAATACCACATTTAAATCTAAGCACATTAGAAAGTGTTAAATTATAGTTTCATGTCAAGTATTTGCGCAATTCTTTCAAACGTTTTTCACTCAAAGAATCAGCTCAGCTCACTCAGGTCAATATATTTATGATATTTCTGTGGAGAGCAGCTAGAGGGCAGACTAAGTGAATAAATATACTTGGATATGTTTAAGTTTCCCCAACGTAGGATGAATACAGAAGCTGCGTAATATCATTGAATAATAATAAAAAAATGATTTTATTGGACCAGACATACATTGTTAAATTAACAGCATACTCTTTCTGAGACTCAGGAAAACCAGCTCCACAGTTGGCTCTTCCGGGGTGAAACAATTTGAAAGATTAATCAGACTTAAATCTGAGTTACACCATTTAAAAAATACAATTACGCTTTGACCTAAAAACTATTACATTGAAGCTCTGTATGCTCAGGATGAATAATCCTGAAGATAATCACTCATCACTATCAAGCTTTTTGCAGTCTCTAACAGATTTTCTTCCCAATTTGCCCTGTATTTAGCTGTATTATATTCCCATCAGCTCTAATCAGTTTGCCTTTCCTGCTGAAGAAAAGCATCCTTGCAGCACAAATGACACATGGCATCACCAAGATTCACCAAGAACAGTTCTTGGATCTATTAACATTTTGGAGAGTGAAATATCTTGAGTTTGGTTTCATCTGTCCAGAGCACCTTCTTCAACAAATACATGCAACGTTTTCTAGAAATATATATATTGTTTTATTTATTATAAAGTTCCTCTTAAGTTTTGTGTTGTTTGTTTCTGTAGTTGCAGGCTGGGCGAGAGGTCGCAGTATGTATAGGAAGTATAGGAAGTATAGGAATGTATAGGAATCTCCACAACAGGTGTGGGTCCAATTTGGTCTTGGCAAATTGGACCTAATAAACTATCAAGTGAGTGCAGTTTACTTTTTAAATGTTGAAAACACATATTTTATCAACAATCTTTTCATTCTAAATGTTTATTAAATCACTATGCTGGCTTTCCAAAAGTCCCTTCTAGTTTGCTTTACAAATGTTAGACTTGCTCCAAAGATTGTGTGTCTATTTCATAAACAATTCCTGAATTAAAGATAATATTTAACAAGTCTAGCTTTTATGACTCACCCCATGAGAGGCGATTTGTTTAAACCATCATTTCACAACTTGTAGCATTTTCTTTCCTGGTAACAGAAGACGTCGTTGCATCTCAGTAACAAAAATACACAAAATATTTAGGTCTGTATATCTTGGTACATAACAGTTTGCCAGCCTTTATTCAGACATTTATTCAACTGGAAACTGATATCTGAACAGTTTCGAAACTCTGATCATCAGTTTCCTATTGGTGGATTCTGGCAATGTCTTTCAGCTGTCGTGTAAATGAAACATGAAGGGACTGGGACGACCTCTCCAACTTGCTGGCAATGTCCGCTGCAGCATGAAGCATCTCTTCAAAGACCACAGACTCTTCTCTTACTCTGCGCCAGAATTTGAAAAAAGAAAACAGGTTTCAGGAAGAAAGATAAGAACAGAAAAGGCAAATGAAGGATTGCCTACTGGCCTACTGTCCATTTCCCAGGGGGTAAATTATGATTGACATTTTCATAATAGAAAAATGGACTCAGAAAGTGACAGCCACGTTGAAAAAAAGTGCAACTTGTTTTACATTTTATGATATGTCTGGAGGCTTGAAAAATGATCCAAAGCTAACATCAGGTGCACAAACAAACAGCAGTCATTTTCTATGACATATCATCATCTGTGTGGGAAAAATTAAGCTCACCAAATGATTCTGTTAATTGTAGAAATACATTTTGAGGCCTTAATTGTTTTTTTTTTTTACCTGACTATCAATCTTCCATATTTTTGGGGAGAAATTTCTTGCACACTCATCTTGATTAAGAATATTGAGGTTTATAGACAACTGCTTTTGATCAGCTCTCTTGTCGTCCCACCACAGCATCTTTTTTGTTTAAGCACTGAACTTTAATTAGGCCATTTACAAACACCTGAAATATTTTTAATTTTCAGTCTTTCTGCTGCAGTTTTGTCCCTTTGATGACTCAACTTGGGCACAGTGTTGTCTGTCAGACAGACAGGTCTATTTGATGCTTAAAAACGTCTGTGAACAGCAGCAAGATTCATCAGTCCAGTGGGTTTCTACATTAGTCCAAAACACAATACTGCCACCAGTACACATTCTTTGTTTGGATTATCCTGAACAAGATAGTCAAAAATTTAACAAAAATACATTTTATTGTAAAAATAATAAATAATGTTTGATGAAATGCTAAATCTCCTCCTCTTTTTATTGTTAGTTTGTAACTTCAACCAATACTCACTTCTCCATCCCAGCGAAGCCATCTCCCTCCAGCTGTTTTCTCAAATCTTCTTCAGCTTTTTCTAAATCCTCACTACAGCCTTTATGGTCTTCCTGGATGTTGATAATGTTTTCTTTAATCACATCTTCATATTTCTGATTCCCCAGCTCCGCCCCCACAAACTGCTCCAAGTTCTCCACCACTGCCTTGTTGCCGCGTTGAATCGTCCGCAGGTAGTCCAGCTCCTCTCGCCGGGCCTTCAGCTTTCGAGATGAAGCAGCGGCTTTAGTGCTGAAGTGGACAGAGCACTTATCTGGTTGGGGTTCAAATTGGAGCGAGGGGGACGCTGATGACGGGGTTGAGAGACGCTCGTTTTTCACACTCGCAGGCTCGTCACCTACAGCCTCCAAAGTGTCATTGGTGGCCATTAAGCCAGGGAAGATGTCAAAGCCTGAACCACAGTCGCCATCTCCACTTTGGCCAATTATCGGGGTTGCCAAAGACATCCAGGCCAAGATGAGCTTCATCCAAAACTGCCACATGGTAGCCTGAGTAGATAAAGGTAGTGATTGTGAATTTCATGAAAAGATGTGATGATTTCTAAGATAATTAGAGGATATGGTTTGGGTTCAAGGTATGCTGTTAAAGCTTAATGTTGCAACTTTCAGATGAACAAACATCTAAACTGCATGAACATCCAGTGTGTCGAGGAAATGCAAGTCTGATGTTTATTCATTTCAAGGAGGTAATGGCACCTTTGAAAAGCTCAGTAAATAAGATGAATTTATGGCTGGAAACATCTTGTAAATATAAAGTAGAGTACTTGCTCACAATCACTGGCTCTGATGTTTTTGTTGTTTTTTTTCAGCTGTCACTTTTAAGCTCTTTACACTTTACATCTGGTCCATCAGCAGAGCTTGTGCTCCAATTTATATGTTTTTTTGAGTTCTACTTTTTGAATCCTCAGCACTGTGCAAATGGCAAAAAGGTTTGTTCAAAATCACTTTCTCAAGATGATACTGACATATTTCCAGAAATGTTTGTCTTATTTATATTCTTTTCCACAAACCAGCTGAGAATTAAATGTGGCTGCGACTCTTCTCTAATACTTACAAGGTTCATAAATCTGACTCTCTGAATGTCACACCGCATATTTTAGCAGCAATCATATTTTTCTATGTACAATTTATCAGGCAACCTTTTTTCTGTTGAACTTTTGTTAAATGCCACATGCAGGTTATAAACTAATATACAGAGTATGTCTTATTTTGCTACATACAGGTTGCTGCTATCTGAGTGACTTCTATTTAATAGAAAGACTTGCTTTAGAGACTCTTACTACAGGTAAGTAAATCTATCCATCTACCAATTCAAATCAGTAATTTTGTCTGCACTAACAATTTTTCTTTCTTTTCGTTTGAGGTCTCTGAATGTGCAGAGCTGGTAGAGGAATATCACAAAATCCTTCCGACTCACTGCAGCAGAGGGTTAAGCTACTGCGTCGGTTCAGACTAAATACACACATGTGCAACAATTCTTCTCCCTCTTTATAACTTCACACTATTTTAATCAATAATATAAAGTCTCACTGTCTACACTCGCCTATACCTGGATGGTCACATGGAGTCTGGTGCCCATCTGCAATAGTCACTGGGTTAGAGTCATGGATACACCATATATTTGGACTATGGGAACAAGCCAGAGTACCCAGAGAGAACTCCTGCATGCATGGCCAAAAAATACAAACTCCATGCAGAAAGATCCGGAATCAAGACAAGCATCTTTTTTCCTGCAAGGCAGCAGTTCTAACAACTGCACCACCATGCAGCCCCTTCAAAATATGTGTATGAAATTTCAAATGTATTTTGGAATCCTCAGAAGATTACAATTTTACTGTAAATCGATGCATCAGCAATTTTCATGTCTCTCTATTTCTGTTGTGAGAAGTAAAATAGGTTAAATTTAGTCTTTCAGTGGATTTATATCATTGCTGTAAAAAACATTATTGCACAAAACCGTGCCGCCTCAACTGTGGAGCAGTAATAAGCTTTTCACATTCTGTGGCTAGACTATGTGGTGACGCGTGTCACGCCAAGGCTGTGAAAGCTGAAACTTCTCCTTACAGTAGAGTTTCTGTTATTTCCAGTGGTTGTCTAAAACTCTTTCTTGAGAATGTGAATTCAGGAAGTCTTTTTTTGTCTTTCTGGGTACGAAAAGAACCAATTTGTTTTTTTTTTTTCAAACTATAGTTTTTGATTAACTCATGTGGCTATCTAGTTTTCTCTCTTCAGCATTTGGAAATGGAAAATATTTAAAGGCATCCACCATAAACTGCATGACAGAGATCTTTCTGCTGTCAAATCACAGTCAGAATTGGCTCAAAACGTTTTAAATCGTCAAAGCTGAGAGGAAAGTCTGGTCAGTTATAATCTTTCAGAACAGCTTGTTCTGAAAACTGCTGAAACAAACATAATAAAATAGTGCTTATTTTAAGGCAACTTGTGGTGTGGAAAGACACCCAGTGACCCGTAAAACAACCCTGAGGGTTCCCTCTGCGTTTAAATGGCAATTTCAATTAGGTTGCAGTGGTTTTTGTGGAAACGTGTTCAAGTAGGATAATTTTGGGACAATGAGGTTTATATCCTGATATCACAGTAATGTTTTTTTGCGTATTTGAATGGTTACAGTTGGGATGACCTGACATGTAAAATAAAGTCAGATTTAATGAGTTTTCCAGATGTGCTCCAAGTCGATGACGGCATGCGTTACATCTGCTTCTTCAATTATTTTATTCAGTCTGCATTTACTTTGTTATTTTGAGTATTAAAACCAATTAGCTGACCACAAACAAAAAAATGGCACATTTATTTATAAATTAAATGGGAAATCTGCCCCCTAATTGTGGTGATGCAAAAACCTTTTCTTGCTACAAACTTTGGCCACGCTTGTTTCAGCGGCACTAAAACAAATCCCTGTTGGCCCACAGTGACAAGACTGGTCTTATGTCTGAAAGTAATAAGATAAAAAGGGAATTTGTCTGTTTGGAAAAGATGTGAATTTGTTTTGCTAACGCCCTGCACAGTCCTCAGTGTATCACAGACTTGCAGCAACAGTGGTGTCTTTGAAAAATGCCTTGAAAGTTAAGATGCAGACGGTTAGGTACAAACTGTGCTTGTGTTAGACTGCAGTACGTAGTCGCATTTTTCTTGGCTTCGCTGCAAAGGATTTGTCACAGGGAAGTGACTTTTATGGGCTGACTTTTCTCTTGGCTTAAAGCGTTTCAACAAAGGGAAAGCCATGAGTTTGCCAAACCCTTTAATGCTTCACCTTAATCTTTAAATACAACAGCGTGCAAGTCATATTCAGAGTTTAAATCCCGAAATAGAAATAGTTATGAAGATTTGGTTCTAATGAAAACAAAAAAGTTCATGAGAAAAAATGTAAACATTGTTCAAGTGATTTGTACAGTTGAAGCCAGATGTGTGAATGCTTTGTATAGAAAGATTCAAATCTTTTTCTTCTCACCAACTTTTAGTATCAAAGTTAGCTCTCTTAGCCAGATATCAAAACGATTTGAGATATTCTAGCCATTTTGTTAAAGTATTTTGAGGTTAAGAAGTTCAGGCTTTTACATGAAATGACTTGTATGTGAACTGTTTGGTGATCCTTTCAAAAGCTTCTCACAATATGCTTTTGAATCAGGTTTGTTGGTTACCTTTAAAGTTAGGATGATTTTTTTTTTCAGTTTTGTAAGCATTTTTTTCCCATCCATATCACACAGTGGCCAAACTCTTGAATTTTAGCCTTAACATAGCACAGGACATTTCTTCAAAAATAAAGTTTTTTTTAAATCTTGATTTTGCAGGATTTTTATATTATTCTCACAAAGCGGCTCTTCATCATGTGTCAGTACAGGTCTTGATTCCATGTGGACAATGCCAAGCACTGGTACAAGTTTTGTAGGGTTAGTTTCATATAGTGTATGTGAAAATCTGGTTTAAATCCCCAAATGCCGCTGAATAGACGTATCTCTTTTTTTGAAAATGAGGCATCAACATGAAATGATTCTGTAATTTGCAGAAATGCTTGCACACATCCTCCTCTGTCTGTCCAGGTTTAGGAGCAAATCTGAGAGTTTGTTGGGTGGTTGCCATTCAGCTTCATGGCCCCTCCTGTCAGAGCTTGACCAGGTGTGCTTTACAGCTGTCAAAATACATTTACGTCAGCAGCACCATGACAAGAAAGGTTCTGGTAGCAAGGCGGTGCCAAAAAAAAGTTCATATTTTTTTCTGCTATATATAGGAGTGGATAGTTTTAATTGTTAAATAGTAAGAAAGGCCAATGTTATATAAACTTGCAAGCATACAATATGTTTAACATCTTCATGGTCTGGTCATATCATGCATTCATATTTCTCTGTTTTCAGTAAAAATATTTTTGAATTTCTCCTTTAGAATATGAGGACAAAATTTATAAAGAAAATATATGTTATTGATATTGACTTTTAGCACCTGATAATTTTGGATTATGCTCTTTACTTGTCTCTGCAGCAAATACATTCGGGAATAACTAATGTATTTGTGTGAGATGAAATATTGTTCTTAAAAAATTTTCTTAGTTCATCTCTCATCTGGAGAAGTTTGGAAAACACACTTTGTTTTGTTGTTTTTTTAATCCCATCAAACTTGTTTTAGGACAAATAAACCAGAAATACATTATTACTTAAAATATTAATGACATCTTTTAAGATCCAAATTGTATGTTAATAATATTTAGCCCCAGTTATTTATTAATGAACATTAACATTAGTTCAAGTGTCTCCAGAAAATGCATTTACTTTAATATCTTATAAGTTTGTGTAATTGATGTGGGCATCTTAACCGTAGCTGAGGAATGTGTGAGGGAAAAACCAGAGTGTACTCTCTATATAAGGTATCATTCAGTCCACATATCAGACTTACCTAACTCCAGTAATTTTTGCACCTCTGGATTCTTCCACTTCTGCTCTTTTAGTCTGCAGGATCCACTCAGAAGTTCAAGAGTACCATTTACAAGCAGAAAGAAGAAATAACTCAGCTCTTCCCTTCATGTCAGAGAAAGAAAAGTGCAGACACACGCAAACGCAATTAGAGTAAGTCTGGAGAGTCTGGTCGCCTGTGTGCCTCTGCATGTCTGCTGGGAGGAGTTTCATAAGGAAGGGGAATGTTTTCAGAAAAGGCTAAAACTGAGTTATTTCTTTTTCTCTGCTATGGGTACAGAGGCTGGAAGTAGGGAGGGGAAAGAATGGGCTTAATTTACTTCACATATGGGGATTATGGCAAGTAGGCATGTGGGCTTGATAGCACAATGGAAACTTCTGGAGACCTACATAATACATTTTCATCATGTTTTTCCTTGCTAATGCTAATTATGTTCAGGTCTGAGTTTCTTGTGGCATGTTCCAGAGTTTTACTTTCTCTTGCAAATTAACTCCGGTCCAAAAACTTTTCTGTTCATGTTAACATATAAAAAATATTAACCTATATGTGTAAAGACAAGATTGTGTTATTTGTGCTGTATTGAGAGCATTGTGTTTTGCGTTAGAAGTGTGAATAGTCTGATTTGTGGAAATCTATGAAGACAGGGAATGTTTCTGTGTCTCTTTTTCATGCGATGTAGCAGAAAAATCTGAGTGCCATCATGGCAGAAAAGATTACAAAGTTATCTTAGGGTTGGAATGACAGACTTTATAAAAGAAACATAAAACGATATCAATTTGATTGGTATTGTCAACTTAGAAATTTCCTAAAACATCCATCTTCTTCTGCTTATCTGCGATTGGATTGTAGGAATTAGTCCCATAAACGAAGCCCAGAAATCTTAATTTATTGGGAATCCCAAGGCGTTCACAGGTTAGAAGGACGACATAGTCCCTCCAGCTACAGTGCTGGGTCTGCCTCAGAGTAACCCACCGGTGGGATGTGGACAGAAAAGCACTATAGTGAGGCTCTGTGGGGGCATCCTGATTCAACATGAACCATTTCACCTGACACTTTGGAGGAGCAGCAGCTACATTAAACTCCATCCAGATGAGCTCTTCACCTTACCTCTAAGGTTGTCCAATCATTCTAAGGAAGAAATTAATCTTAGCTGTTTGTGTCTAGAGCCTTGTCCTTTCAATTATGAATAATATCTAAAGGATGGACTGATAGCTCAAGATCTTTATTTTTTGACTCAATATATTCATCTCTATAGACTAGCCTGAAGCAGCAGTTAGATTTGTTTTTATTTGGAAATAAATGCACCAAATAAAGTAAACAATGGAAGATCTCAAATTATTTTGAAGCTTTTTATCCACTTACTTTACTAGGGCATCAATCGGAGTGTGGGGTGCTGTTTGTGAGATAGAAAGAGGTGAATTCAGGGTTCAGTTCTGTTAAGGAGTTAAAGCATCTTGAATCTGAATCACAACTGGTGTAAAACAGGAAGAATACTGGAGTATTGTCTGTTTCAAACAGTAAAAGTCAAAATTTCTAATTTCAGCTTTGATCATGAGCTCTGGGAAGTGACCAAAAGAAATGGGATTTGGAGTAAAAACATGATTAATCTCGGAGGAGTGGCTATAAGCTCATCCTACAAGAAAGGCAGGAAACCTTATCAGTTTAGAAGATGTTTTAAATTAGTTTGCTCCTCTGTAATAAAATGGTTCCATTAACTTTTTTCCATCTTTGTTTCTGTTTTCTAAATTGATTCTATCACATAGGTAGATTGCTTTTTGGTGAATTCCCATCTGTGCAACTATTCACTTGTCATTCCATTGAATTAAAACAAAATGTAGCAGCTACTTTTAACAGCATAGGAAAGATTTGCTGCTGTGCCTCTGAAATACATGAAGATCGATGTGCATAATCAATTATCCCATTAAACCAGCATTCATTACTTGAATTTCTGTAGCAGTTTTATGGTCAATATACCAGCATGTTTTACAAATTTAAGGTGAGGATGACTTGAAAGGCAGAATCCTGTTTTTAATTTGCACAGTTACCAGGACACCTTTGCTCTAGAAAAAGGTTGCATTAATAAAATGTGAACTCGTGTTTTTATGATCTTCAGCCTTTTGGATTATGTATGTGTTCGCGCGAAAGTTTGTTAGTTTGTCATCTGGAATTGCAAAAATGTTTTAGTGAAGAGGAGAGTAGAAACTCTGCGCCGCTCAGCTGCTTCGGTTGCAGATGCAGATTGACAGACACCAGGCATCCACACAAAGCAGCCATGCAGCTTAGACAGAGCCAGGTACGTAGAACGGTTTTGTGTTGGCAGCTTCTAAAAATATTAATTATTATTTTTTTTTTTTATGATTAGGGGGTCTTGTGTTTTTTGTGGGAGATTTCCACTTTGCTCTTCAAATCTGGACCATTTTGCAACCTGCTGTCAAATAAAAACAACATGAAGTTATGTCCATGTGAAAGAGTTTTAATTTATGATTTTCCACTGATTAATTTCACCAAATAAGAAAAAAATGGGTTAATGTTAGATTTTATAGTTTCTTCTTTTGGAAAATTTTGAAAAAAATACAAATACAAAAAAATAATTCGGGAAAGCCTATACTTTTTAGTATCATGGCTTTCTAAGCTTCTGGAATATTATGGTGATGTCCTTGTGTAACTTTATGAAAAAGATTAGGAGAAATGTACAATTTCAAGTTTGTAAATGAACATGCTGAGTTGATCTGGTCAAATAATAATAATTATACAAATATAAACTGCATGTCTAGATATCATACTGTTTGCATTTGTAATATATGAAATGTATGCATCAGCCTCACAAATGAAGATGCTGCCTAATATTATTAAACTGACTTGGGCTGCAGGGCCACTCAGTAAGTAAGAAGCCATTATTTCCAAAACAACATTGAAAGTCAGATTCCAGCTAACAAATAAACTCATGGACAAAGGCCTTAATGTTTGGAGAATGTTATCTGATTATATTACATTTGGAGGAGACTAGCAAGCCTGGGAACACTATCCTAACCATAAAGTTGAGTGTTGTGAGGGTATTTCTATGCAGGAGGGACTGTTGCACTTCACAAAACAGATGGTGTCGCTGGGAAATGGCATCTCTCGACATAAGCCAGGGATGTGGCTGAATTCGAGCGAGAAGCTTGGGGAAGGATCCCCAAAATGCTTGACCAAAGTCAACTAATTAAAAAGGCAATTCTGCCAATAAAATTGCACAATTTCAAGACAGTTGGAGATGATGGCCTCTCCTTTAGAGATTAAGCAAATAGAAATAACTTTTGTAATCAAAATGGTGCTAAATCTCAGGTCAGATTTAAAAAAAAAAAGAAAAATACAGCAATGTGACATAAACTCAGCTTCGTCAGAAACAAACTACCCATTACACGGACATGCCTTTCTTCCTGTTGAACTACACATACATTTTATGTCATTGTTTACGAAACGTCAAAAATAAATCCTAAACCACCACACTAGTTATCCTCACTCTGCAGGAGACCAGATGTTCTTTGTCAAACGTCAGACTATTAAATGTCCTCAGCCATCTGCAGATCTCCATGTACCAAGATTTTTTACCCGAGACATAATGAGGGCAACACATGGACGAAATCGAGTGTTTGTATTCACTGCAACATGTATTTTTTAAGTGACTCAAAAACCATTTCAACTTGTGATAAGTGATACATATTGCAGTGAAATGAATAGCCTATGATTATATTTGTAGGTGAAAGGTATAGTCCATTGTATATACATAAAAAAATGCTATTTTAGTGGAGAAGGTGTAATGTTAAATTAATGATTTTGTCTTCAGCATCAGTATTTGTTTTTTAAAAAGAAGCAAGAAGAGCCCACAACACTAAATAATTGTTGAGATAGAGTCAATCTTAATGCTTTAAGAGTCAAAGGTTCTTGTCTTACTTTCAACTCTGAATCATTTTGCCTTTAATTCTTTCCTGTGTTTGAGTTTTCTGATAAACTTTGAGTTTCAAATCAAAATAATACACCGGAGCGTTCAATATATACACCGTAAGTAAAACAGTGACTGTGAATATATCAACCCAGAGAACGTGTGAGCTTTGTTTTAATTGATGAGCACCTTGTGCCCTCAGGGCTGTTCTTGACCAAGGCAAGGACTTCATCCTCTTCCAACCTTCTTATCCACAGCAGTGTGTGCGCGCAATGAATGCCGCACTGTGCTGGGGCTGATAAACTCTGCAAATCTGCTCTGGGACCCAAACACAGTTTAGGCTTTTCTCAGTGCCCAGAACCAGGCTGCTTTGCCCATTTGTCCCATGTTTTCCTTCAACTGCACAGATTGCATGGCTTTGTGACTAACAGGCAGGAAATTGTGATAATATTGAGCTCTAAAATTTATACCATGTCAAAGTCTGTTGTAATTAATAAATCTTCCAGTGGAGGTATGATGTGAAATTTTAAGAGTGGCTTGTAAATCACTCTGGCTCAAGAAGGTGACCTTAAATAACTTGCACCTATGAAGAGCTGCTGGTGAAACGTCGTTTAAACAACAGCATAAATCACATGCGTATGCTTGAATGACATGCCTACAGTTTTCTTGTTTGGTAATACATATGCTGAAAAAATAGCTCTGATGACCAAAATGCATTCAAAATTAACATTTTAAATATTGAAAATAAAATGCTTTTTGAAACAACATTGAACATTTATTGTGCATCTCAAAAAATTTTGAATGCAGCATAAAAGTGCACTATGTCTTGCTAATCATCTCAGAAACTGAAACTCGTGTTATCACACACAGTTATATATTCCAAGCCTTTTTTCTTTTTTGATGAAAATTGCTTATAGACAACACAAATCCAAAATTTTGGGTCTCAGGAAATTTGAATAATTTCTGAGACTCATAGTCACATTAGGGTGTGACCATGATTCACATTAGGGTGTGACCATGATTCACATTAGAGTGTGACCATGATTCACATTAGGGTGTGACTCATGTTGTCACACTCTAATAATCAAATTAACTCAAAAAACCTGTAAAAGTTCCCTGACCCTTCAAACCGTCTCTTATTCTGGGTCAGTAGACTACACAACCATGGGGAAGACTTTCATCTATTGTTATTTCAAACTCTAAACCGTATCAGGCAGATTTTTATAGAGAACT